GGGTCCCCAGCCCGGACATGACCAGCAGGGAGGTGCCCACCTACGTCTCTGTGCTAGACTCTGGTTCTGCCCCAAGGCACGTTCCTCTGCCTCCTGGTACGTCTGGGTGCCCGGGGACGCCGAGGAGTATTGAAGTATCACTTCCACGTTTGCCGAACTTCACGCTCCATTGTCGAGTGTGGAACAAGAGGGCACCCTTCCCCGGGCCATGCTCAGTGACCCGGGAGTCGTGAGGTGTCTTTTCTCAGGGGAAGCAGCCAGTGTTGTTTCAGCTTTGGAAAACTCAGGGGCTGCATGTATGTGCACACGTGCCCTCACTGTGCACACAGGAGGGCGTGCATGTGTGTTTTTACATGCACGTGTGTGTTCTCATCTTGGCTTCATGGGACGTGGACACCTGCTCTCTATCCCCCACCCCTCCAGCGTTTCTTAGCAACAGCCCTGCCCCCAGGGCTATTTCAGGGCCGCGGCTCTCCATCGAGCAGGTCGTGCAGAGCCCAGGAGGTCCTGCGGGGGCTGCTCAGGTGTGGCCAGGGTGAGACCTTGGGCCCTCCAAATGGCCCTTCAGACCATTTTCTCGTCCTTACTTTGACAATGGTGACAGGAGATGTCATTACTATTAACAGTGGCGGCCCCAGTAGGGGGCGACGTGCCCCTCTCAGATGTGGGTCCACACCTGTGAGTGGTGGGTAACAGTGTCACCTGACACTCGGGCAGCGGAGATGGCCAGGTTGAGCGGTGCCTGTGACGTGTCCCTGCCACTCGCCAGAGTGCACACTCTGTCACCACTGCCCCTCCCACGTCACTACGGCTGGGTCAGCTGGGCACGGAGACCGTCACAGGCACGTGTTAAGTACGAGCCAACTGCTCACAAGGAGGGGCCAAGAAACAGCCGTTCAGGGTTTGCGACATCTCGTTTTCCCGTCCGCGAGTCCCTTGGCTTGTTTCCAGATCCTTGCCAAGGCCAGGAAGCCACGGGTCAGATCTGGCTTGGGGCCTGTCTCGATGGCCGCTAGATCAGAGTGCTTCTTATCCTTGAAGAGCCTTTATAAACATAAAAGATCAAGGGAGGGCCCGGCCGTGTGGCGTGGGCTGTAGCCTGCTGCTCTTCCGTGCTGGAAACCATGTGGCCAGCCGTGGGTTCGGATCCCGAGTGAACCTGAAACAGGCACACGTGCCCAAGAGCCTGATAAGCTTAGGGGGCAAGGGTGGTGGTGTAACGACCGGGATTGGTTGCTAGGGAGCCCGGGATCATCAGGGAAGGCAGGATGAGGAGGGTTCCCAGGGCATGTGGGGGACCCCATGAGGGCCCCAAGCCATTCTTCCCGAGAGGGTGCTTCGTAGAAGCGAAGGGCCGTGGGAAGGGAGGTGCAAGCCCCGCTGACGGCCGATCTCCTCACAGATGCTGAGAGCAAGACGGCCAGCCCCGACAGCCCCCAGTCCGCGCAGAGCGAGCCGCCCGCACCCCAGCAGGACGTGCCGACACCAGAAGATGCCCAACCGGGAAGCCCCTTGGCCGCAGAGGCTGACCAGGCTTCCGTGGAAGAGCCGCCGTCCTCGGACGCCCACCTGGATGACGCAGGTATGCTGGCTGCTGTGTGAGCAGGAGCTGTGGGCCCGGCGCGGCGACTGCCCCCAGGGCTCAGGCTGCAGTCCTTCTGGGTCACTAGTCTCAATTCAGCCGTGCCCCGAGCCCCTGCCCTGCCCTCTGTGTGCAGGGCGGGGCTGAGCTTTGCTGGAGTTTCCTGGGCCTTGCCCGAGTCTGGCATAGTTGGCGAGCCGAGGGTCTGCGAGACGCCTGCCTTCCTGTCTCCCCGTCCTCCCGGGCAGCTTTGCGTTTTCACTCCGATTTTCTGGATGAGGTGTTCTCGGAGGAGCAAGGAACCTGTGGGGTGTTCAGCTGACCCCAGGTCCATGGGGAGGCCAGAGGACAGGGCTCTCCTACTGGCCTGAACCCCACGGCGGTGGCTCACTCCCAGAGAGATGCCTATATGTCAACACAGGCGCCCAGGGCCGGCGAGCGGGGCTGAAGCGCTGCCCGCGGCCTCTCGGCAGGTGAGCTTGCACGCTCCGAGCCT